TTGATTGGCCTCTTTTAGGGGTCTCTAGGGCTGAAAATAGAAATACCTTTAGACATCTTCTTCTACAGAACTAATGTATGGATGATCACCAAACTTTGTCTGTAGCATTCTTGGGTAGTCTTTTATCAAGTTTGCTCATATTAATTTGATTGGCTCCTTTTAGGGGCCGCTAAAGCTAAAAATATGAATACCTTAAAACATCTATATCTAGAGAACTAATTGATAGATGATCACCAAACTTTGTCTGTACCATTCTTGGGTAGTCTTTTATCAAGTTTGCTCATATTAATTTGATTGGCCCCTTTAAGGGGTCTCTAGGGCTAAAAATAGAAAAACCTTTAAATGTCTTCTCCCACGGAACTAATAGATGGATGATCACCAAACTTTGTCTGTAGCATTCTTGGGTAGTCTGATAGCAACTTTGCTCATATTAATGTGATTGGCCTCTTTTATGGCAGCTAAAGCTAAAAATAGAAATACCTTTTAAACATCTATTTCTACAGAACTAATTGATGGATGATCACCAAACTTAGTCTGTAGCATTCTTGGGTAGTCTCTTATCAAGATTGATCATATTAATTTGATTGGCCCCTTTTAGGGGTCTCTAGAGCTAAAAATAGAAAAACCTTTAAATGTCTTCTCCTACGGAACTAATTGATGAATGATCACCAAATTTTGTCTGTAGCATTCTTGGGTAGTCTTTAATCAATTTTGATCATATTAATTTGATTGGCCCCTTTTAGGGGCCGCTAAAGCTGAGTATAGAAATACCTTTAAACATCTATTTCTACAGAACTAACTGATGGATGATAACCAAACTTTGTCTGTAGCATTCTTAGGTACGCTTTTATCAAATTTGCTCATATTAATTTGATTGGCCCCTTTTTGGGGCCACTAAAGCCAAAAATATAAAAACCTTTGAACATTTCCTACTGAAATAATTGATAGATGATCACCAAACTTTGTAGCATTATTAGGTAGTCTTTTATCAAGTTTGCTCATATTAAATTGATTGGTGCCGTTTAAGCTAAAGCTTAGTCGCCCCAGGTCATGGCATTTAGTCAAATTATTATTTAAACATATTCTATGCTCAAATTAAATATCAGAAAATATTGACAATGGATAATTTCCAACTCTGAAAAGCAGTTGTTTCTGGTGAGCGACTCAGGGCCATCATGGCCCTCTTGTTTGAGTTATTGCCCTTTGTTAATTTTCATATTTCATTTTTGTTCTGGCCATTTCTCCAAAACTATATTGTTCACAAGGCGACACATCCGACCCGCGGAGTTCTAGTTTATACAAACAACTTCTTCTCAGAAACCACATGCCCAAACTTGATGAAATTTTCCTTGGATGTTCATTATATGAAGCTCTACTAAAATTCTTCAAATGGTTTTGCTCAATTGAATATCTGGATCAGCAGGGCTAAAATAGATTTTTAGAATGAAATCTTTTAAAATCTTCTTCTCTGAAAATGCATGGCCTAGAGCTTAGATATTTTGTGTGTAGCATCATCTAATGAAAGTCTACAAAAATTATTCAAATTATAGCCCTTGGGTCAAAATCATTATGTACATATAGTAAAAACTTAAAAAAACTTTTTTCTGAAGATATGAGGCTTTAAGAGCCTTGATATTTGGTAAATGATATTATGTATGTCCTCTAACAAAGTTGTTCAAAGTTTTCTCTAGTGTAAATATTGGCACCACGATGGGGGGAATAGGTTTCCAAATATGGAAAAACACTATAGAGGCTACTGTTTCAACTCAAATTGGTGAGAAAGTTTGTTTTGATGTTTGCTAGGGCTTTTTCAGATATGGGTTTTCTGGGGTTGAAAACTAGGTCACGCAGCCCAAATATGGAACAACCTTGTAAACACTTTAAAGGCTACTGTTTTGGTCCAAATATCCTGGAAATTGGTTAGATAGATTGTTAAGATGATTTTTTTGCTCAATTTGGAATAAGGGTCATCATAGGTCAAAATGTATGTTATACAGCCCAAATATTGAAAAACCACTGTTTTGGTTCAAATATCTTAGATTGGTTAGAACGGTTGTTTATATGATTTCTATTACAGATTTGCATATAGGTTATCTGAGGTCAAAAACATGTCACAGCACATAAAAAGGCATAAATGGAAAAACCTTATTTAAACATTTGCACTATTTCAGGTACAGATATGAATATTATGATATCAGTTTAAGTTTATGGCATTAAATCTGCCTTTCATTCATTTCATTCATTTGCTTACAATATTAATTCAGAGCCTCAATTATGAGTCAGGTGAGCGATATAAGGGCCATTATGGCCCTTTTGTTTTGCTATAACTTGCTATAACTTTGTTATTACTCATATTATAACAGAACATTCTTTAGGATAAGATTTCCATGTATAGCACACTCAAGTTGACCTTGACTCATGTAAGACCTTGACCTTTATGGTTAAATTATTGAATGTTCACTGATTTTTGCTTTAATACATATTCATATATGTATATAATTTTTTGATGCCACCGCAGCACCTGTGTGTGTGTGTTTGTGTGTGTGTGTGTGTGTGTTTGTTTGTATGTGTGTTCTATAGATTATATAGTGAACTTAAGAAATCTTCTTGTGAAAAACCACTAGTCCAATTTCAACCAAACTTGGCAGGATTGATCCTTTGGTAAAGGGCTTCCAAAGTTTCCAAAGAATTTCATTCCATGCAGAAATCTGGTTGCCATGGCAACCAAAAGGAATTATAAGAATAAATTAAAAAAATCTTCTCGTAAAGACCCAAAAGGCCTAGAGCTAAGATAATCCGCAAAAGGTATTGTCTGGTGGACCTCTACCAAGATTGTTTAAATTATAGCCCTGGGGTCAAAATCAGCCCCGCCCCAGGGGTCATTGATTTTCACTATATGTACATATAGTAAAAACTTAGAATATCTTCTTGTGTGAAGGTACAAGGCTTAGAGGTTTGATTTTTGGTATGTGTTATTATCTATAGGTACTCTACCAAAATTGTTCAAATTTTGCCTCTAGTGTCAAAATTAACCCTGCCCCGGGGGTCATAGGTTTTCATTATATGTATATGGTAAAAACTTTTTAAAAATTTCTTCTAACATTTGACAAATGCTAGAGGTTAGATATTTTGCATGAAATATTGTGTAGTGAACCTCTACCAAGATTGTTCAAATTTTAGCCCTGGGGTCAAAATTGGCCTTGCCCCAGGGGTCATTGATTTTCACTATGTACATATAGTTAAAAATCAAAAAATCTTATTGTCTGAAGGAATAAGGCTTAGAGATTTAATATTTGTTATATGATTTCATCTACAGGTACTCTACCAAAGTTGTTCAAATTTTGCCTCTAATGTCAAGATTAACCTTGCCCTGGGGGGTCATAGGTTTTCTTATATGTATATAGTAAAAACTTAAAAAATCATCTTTTCTAAATTGACAAAGGGTAAAGATTAGATATTTTGCATGAAACATTGTGTAGTGAACCTCTAGCAAGATTGTACAAATTATAGCCCTGGGGTCAAAATTGGCCCCACCCCAGGGGCTCATTCATTTTCACTATGTACATATAGTAAAAAATTAAAAATCTTCCTGTCTGAAGGTACAAGGCTTAGAGCTTTGATATTTGGTAAATAATATCATCTATGGGTCCTCTGCTAAAGTTGTTTTAATTATGCCCCTAGTGTTAAAATTGCCCTGCCCCAGATGCGATAGTTTTCCTTATATGTATAAATTAAAAACTTGAAAAATCTTCTTCTATGAATTGACAAAGGCTAGAGGTTAAATATTTGGCATGAGACTTTGCGAAGTGAACCTCTACCAAGATTGTTCAAATAATAGCCCTGGGGTCAAAATTGGCTCTGCCCCGGGGGTCATTGATGTTCATTATGTGCATGTAGTAAAAAAATAAAAAATCTTTTTGTCTGAAGGTACAAGGTATAGAGCTTTGATGTTTGCTATATAATATCATCTATAGGTCCTCTACCAAAGTTGTTCAAATTTTTCCCCTGGTGCCAAAATTGGCCCTGCCCGGGGGGCATTGATTCTCATTATGTACACATAGTAAAAACAGAAACTAAAACAAATTTAATGTTTTCTGAATTGGAGAAAGCTACACATAGATATTTGACATGAAATGTTGTTTGGTGGACCTGTATCAAGATTGTTTTGAATTAAACCCTTGGGTAAAAATTTTGCCTTGCCCAAGGGGACAATGACCTACTTTCTTGTCCTTTGATGTACAGCAATGAAATTTTGACCATGAGCACAGTTTTAGTTGTAAAATTGAACTTTAATATCAGCTGACCTAGATTTTGACAAAGTGTCTTACTGTGCTGTCATGAAATTAAGGCTGTGTGAAATATGACCTTCACCACCAAATTCAATAGACTCAACTGCATTGATATATTCCTACTCTAATCTTTTATTTGAATAACAATAGATTTAACCACTAATTTGATAATAAGAATTAGATAGGTCAGGGATCTATGCATTATGACAATCTTCAATTGTATAGAAACAAAAAAAAGTATGTTCCTACACTACTATTTAGTGTTGTATTAATGCGGTGGCATAACATTTTTCACAAATGCAATCTTGTTTTCTTCTGAATTTTGATAATATTTTCTTAACATTGTCATCTATTTATGGAGAGGATTCATACTTCAACATAACTAGTGTGACAAGACGGACCTATTAGAATTAAAAAAGGAAACATTAAGATTTATTCAAACTGTTCCTTTGTATCTTTTTAGAAAAGTAAAAAATCGATCGTTGCCCCCGCCCGGCGGTGGCTCTTGTTGACTCATTTGTCATCAAACTTGGTCAGGATGCTTTTCTAAGTAATTGCTCGGATGAGTTGGATGGGTCAGATGAGTGATCTTGGGCCATCTTGGCCCTCTTGTTTATGTGTTTCTTTGCCATGAATGTAATCATCAAAAGATGCAGAAGACTATCAGGTCACACAATAAAGTTTTAATGTAGCAAATTTATTATGTTTCAGATCTATGACCCAAATAATGCTAGATATGAGGTACCGATCAAATTGTCAAGGGCAATCAATCCTGTGACAGCAGTAAAAACAAATTATAACTTATATATCCCATCACATGGACCTTTTTATATAACTGTTACAAGAAAATCTTCTGGACATGTATTGTAAGTGCTTAACAAAAAATTTTATTCTTATTTACCGAATTTAAATGTCATGTGGACATTTTAAACATGATGTTTTCAAGCAGTCTACCATTTAAATCATTTTGAATAGGAAATAGTAAAAAAATTACACAGTTTCAAAATTCAGAGAAGTTTTATTTTATATTTCTCATTTGAAAGACTGTTATCAATTTTACTTATGTGGATAAAACTAAGTCATGCATAGTTAATACCATTTGACCACTGCATCACTTGTCAACCATTTTAGACATCTTGATACTAAATTTTATGTTCGGTAATTAACCTTGTGAATTTGTATTATAAATTTGTCAAGCTTTAAATAAGAGACATTATAAACAATGTCAAGAAAACCTTAAACCTGTACAACAATTTTACATGAAATCGCTTTTAGACTTTATTTTTTTGTACTTACATATTTTCCCCCTCATCAATAGTTTCATACAGCATATTGTCAGTAAGATTTGCTTTTATTGTGCTGATTAAAATATTTTCTCGTATTAACAAACAGGTTTAGTTCACAGAATGTTTCGCCATTGGTATTTGCTGACCAGTTTATTCAGCTTGGTACTCAGCTTAGCACAAAGTATCTTTATGGGCTTGGAGAGCACAGGGCAGCATTCCTTGTAAGCACTAACTGGACAAAAAGGGCTTTCTGGAGCAGGGATCAGCCACCATCTGTGAGATATTATTCAAAATAATGATAATAAAAAATTCTAAAATTATACCCAGTTTTGTTAAGTTATTTGCAAATAGATAGATATACTGGCAAAATTTATTTGTGTTGAAGACAAACACAGTCAAATTTAAAAATTTGCTGTAATTCTGGAGTTTTACAATATCTTTATAGAAAAAAACAAAGTTTTGAAGCTGATGAAGGACACTGTAAATTATTAAATGATAACATACACAATTTATTTGAAGCATGACTGTTTTTCTTCTTCTTCTTTAATACATGTATGCTAAACACCAAGTAAATTAAGGAATTATGCATCTTTGTTGCGATACACAAGGTGAGATAACCTGCTGTCTTCCATATAATATAGCAATAGATTATTGAGTAGGTTATCAAGGTTTTTTTTACATGAACCGTATATTTAATTATTTATAGATAATTTGTATGTTTATACATTATATCCTCCAACATTTCCCTAAACAGTGGAGGCATATTTTGTTTATAATGTATTGCAGAGGGATGGCAATTTGTATAAAGTTAACTATACTTGATATTCTTATACATTACAGCCGGATAGCAATTTGTATGGTGTTCACCCATTCTATCTAAATATTGAGAGAGATAACAATGCACATGGAGTGTTCCTTCTAAACAGTAATGCTATGGGTATGGATATTTAACAGTTTACTGCATTATTCATTTTTAGCTCCATTTTTTATACCCCCCAAACAAAGATTGGGGGGTATGTAGGAGTCACTAGGTGGTCGGTCGGTTGATCGGTCAGTCAGTAGGTCGATGGGTCCAGCGGTCTATCTTGACTAATTACAGAGTTATTGCCCTTTGTTACTTTTCCTTGTCTGGAGCATAACTTGAAAACTACTGGTTGGAATTCAAAACAACTTCGTACAATGGTCAAGCACAATAAGGGGAAGTGCAGTGCACAAGAACCAAAACTCTATCTAAAGTAATTACAGAGTTATTGCCCTTTGTTACTTTTCCATAGCTTTCTTTTGTCTGGACCATAACTTGAAGACTAATGGTTGGAATTCAATACAACTTCATACAATGATCAAGCACATAGAGAGGAAGTGCAGTGCACAAGAACCATAACTCTATCTTGACTAATTACAGAGTAATTGCCCTTTGTTACTTTTCCTTGTCCGGAACATAACATGAAAATTAATGGTTGGAATTCAAAACAACTAAATACAATGATCAAGCAAAATAAGAGGAAGTGCAGTGCACAAGAACCATAACTCTATCTAAAGTAATAACAGAGTTATTGCCCTTTGATACTTTGCCTTGTCCAGAGCATAACTTGAAAAGTACTGGTTGGAATTCAAAACAACTTCATACAATGGTCAAGCACAATAAGAGGAAGTGCAGTGCACAAAAACCATAACTCTGTCCAGAGTAATTATAGAGTTATAGCCCTTGGTTACCTTTCCATTGCTTTTTTCTTGTTCAGAGCATGACTTGAAAACTACTAGTTGGAATTCAATACAATTTCATACAATGGTCAAGTATATTGAGAGGAAGTGCAGTGCACAGAAACCATAACTCTTTCTTGACTCATTTAAGAGTTTTTGCCCTTTGTTACTTTTTATTGTCCAGTGTATAACTTTAAAATGAATGGTTGGAATTCAATGAAACTTCACACAATGGTCAAGGGCAGTGAGATGAAGTGCAGTGCACAAGAACCATAACTATTTGGATAAATTACAGTTATTGCCCTTTGTTACCTTTTTTGTCCAGTGCATAACTTGAAAACTAGTAGTTGGAATTCAATACTACTTCATACAAAGGTCAAGGGCAATGACAGGAAGTGAAGTGTACAATAACCATAACTACATCTTCAGTATTTGTAGAGTTATTGCCCTTTGTTCCTTTTCCTTGTCCGGTGCATAACTTAAAAACTAATGTTTAGAATTCAATGCAACTCATACAATGGTCAAGCGCAATGAGAAGAAGTGCAATGCGCAAGAAGCGTAACTCTTTCTGGACTAATTACAGAGTAATTCAATAAAACTTCATCAATGGTCAACCACGTTAAAAGGAAATGCAACATACAAGAACCACAACTATCTTTTATTGCCCACAACTATAACTCTATTTCAATTCTTTTGCAAGGACTTCCTCATTTCCGAAGCAGTCTTGCAGGGGTATTAATCACATTTAGTGATAGATCTATTTTTTTTTTTTTAAAAAGTAGAGGTATTGTGATAGTCCCAGTGGCGTTGCCGTTGCCTTCCGCAAAATTGTACCTGGATCATAACTTTTTTACTTCTTGGTGTATTGTCTTCATACTTGGCCACAACAACCCTTGGGACAAGACCTTTCAGTAGACCATCTAACCTTGGCCTTCATAAATGACCTGACCTTGAAGGTCAAAAGTCCAAATTTTACCTGTTCTTGCTATTATTGGCTGTAACTTTGTTGTTTTTGAATGGATTGTCATCAAACTTGAACATAATAATCTTCAAGGATAGCCCTTCAAATAACCAGACAGACCTTGACTTTCCCTCATAAATGACCTTGACTTTGAAGGTCAAATTATTGAAATTTTCATTTTTTATTTTTGGCTGTAACTGGCTGTAACTTTGCTATTATTGAATGGATTGACTTTATATTATAACAGGACCTTCATCTTTATCAAACTCAAATTGACTTTGGCTCTTTTATGACCTTGACCTTGAAGGTTAAATTATTGAATTATATTGGTGTGTATGCATATATATAAATATATATAAATATATAAATAACTAAATATATATACACACACACAGTTGACTCTCGGTAACTCGAAATCCAAGGGACTGGACATTTTACTTCAAGAGAAACAGAATTCCAGTAACCTGGATCTGTCGCCATTACATTGACATTCGAACATGTATATACATGTGCCTGATTGAATGTGCAAAGAAGTAGGTTTGTTATTGTTGATAGTGGCAATGCTGCAATATTTAACAGTTGAAATGATGGTAAATCACTTACAACTACAAATTATAAATGAACAAAATTTAATACATGTATATTAATAGTGAAACATAAACACAACATTTGTGGCAATGACATAAATGCAAGTTTGTCAGTATTCATCAGTAAAGCACATGTTTTTGATAATAACTCATGACAATTCATTACAATAAAAGCACAATAACACATTTATTTCAACAACAATTTATCTATTATATGAAGTGAATTGATCATCGGACGAAAACAAAAGTAGCAACTTTCGTGAACCGGAAGTATATATTAATGTATGCAAAATGACAGAACATTAATTATACAAATGTCATTTACGTTGATAACACACATCAATACCTAGGCTGTTTATTTGACTAACACCTGTCAGACTGGCACGAGTCAACTTTCTTAAAGAAATGTAATTAAATCTTAATTTAGTTATCTAACTGTTAAAACCAATTAAGTCCTGAAACCGATTAATACCACTTTTACGACGTGTTGATAATACATGATAACCGGCAATTAAAACTACTATGAAACGTGTGAATCACTAGTGAGAACATCTCACCTTGATATCGCCGACCTTTGATCTGTCAGTTGGACTTTAATTGACGGGACCAAAATTTCTTTTCGACTAAACAGGAGTCTCGGTAAGTCAAAATTTGACCTAAGTGGAGTTGAAATTCAAAGATAAAGAAGGAAATTCGACGGGACTTTAGAAATTCTTCGACAAACGCGTAATTTTGAGTAAAGCGATTTTGACTTTTTTGAGAGTCAACTGTGTATATATACATGTTTATTACCCTTCCAGATTTTTTCCGCCTTTTTGACTGGATATTGATCACCCGAAAGAAATTGATATTACCGAGCCAGACGGGTAATATACACGAATGATATCGACGAAAACAAAAGTAGCAACTTTCGTCGGAAGATTATATTAATTTCGAAAAAAACAATGCATTCAAACACACTACATACCTTTTTTTGTTTCAATCCGTTATTTCTTAAAGAATTAATACATCTTATTTAGTGATCTTTTACTGTGAAAACAGTAATCCTAAAGTAATCTATTTCGACGTTTGATAATATATGAATTAAGCAATGATTGTGATTTTAAAATCCCCCTTGAATCGGCACCTGGAAGTTGGTAATAAAATTAATTTTGGTTTTCGAGTAAAATATTGGTAATAAATTTACCTAAGATAAATTCACCCGATAAAAGGATCGACGGTGATTAAAATCTTGACAGGTAATTAGTAATATATTTGACTTTTGAATCAAAATAACATATAATATTAATATATAAATGCGTATAGATATAAATGCGTATATATAAATATAAGAAAATTTGGTCCCGTCAATTAAAGTCCAACATATTTTCATCTCAATTACATCTCAATATATATATATATATATATATATATATATATATATATATATATATATATATATATATATATATATATATATATATATAAATGCATATATATATAAATGCGTATTCATATACATATCTTTTTCTTTTTCTTCTGTAATACACATGGGGATATATTAAAAAAGGATTCATACTTTGACAAAACTAATGTGACAAGACACACCAATTTAATTGATAGAAAGGAAACATTAAGATTTGTTCAAAGGTTTCTTTGTTTGCTTTTAAAAAAATGTAAAAAGTAGAGCGTTGCCCCCGCTCGGCGGTGGCTCTTGTTATACATTGGCTCATACAGCCTTTATTTATAGCCTGAAGTTTTTCATATTTGAAAGGAATATATCTTGGATAATCCAGTGCTGGGAGTCAGAAAGTCAATGTCACTTGTAATGACAATAGATTTTTTTTACACTTTTTATTTGGCCTTTGTATGTTTTGTGCCCCCCCCACCCCCCTTTGGGGGGGAGCATTTAGATTTACCCTTGTCTGTCCGTCCATCCATCCTTTCGTACAAAACCAGAGGTACTTGTGTGACTTGGAGAACAATGGGTAACAGTAAATTCTCTTTGATCCTATTCATTCCGTTTTTACTTGTGTGTCTTTTTTTAAGCCTTGTGTTACTAAAAATGGCCAAAAAGATCAAAGGAAAAGTCACATAAGTACCATTTTGTGAGTATGTCCGTCCGTCTGTTCTCTTTTGTGTCGCATGTAACTCAAAAAGTATTTGATCTAGAGTCATGAAACTTAACAGGAATGTTGGTCAGCATGTTCAGTTGTGCACCTGGGTATTTTTGTGTGGATTTTTTCAGTATATTTAGAGTTATTGCCCTTGACCTAGTAAAAATTTGCAATTTTCAACTTGTGTCGCATGTAACTCAAAAAGTATTTGACCTAGGATCATGAAACTTTACAGGAATGTTGATCAGCATGTGTAGTTGTGCACCTGGTTATTTTCGTGTGGATTTATTGAGTATTTTTAAAGTTATTGCCCTTGACTTAGTAAAAATTTGCAATTTTCAACTTGTGTCGCATGTAACTCAAAAAGAATTTTACATAGGGTCATGAAACTTTATGGGAATGTTGATCAGCATGTGTAGTTGTGCACCTGTGTATTTTTGCGTGGATATATTTAGTATTTTTAGAGTTATTGCCTATGAATTAGTAAAAATTTCTCAATTTCAAATTGTGTCGCACACAACTAAAATAGTATTTGACCTAGAGTCATGATACCTTACAAGTATGTTGCTCAGCATGTGTAGTTGTACACCTGGGTATTTTAGTGTGGATATTTTTAGTATTTTTAGAGTAATTGCCCTTGACTTAATAAAAATTTACAATATTTAACTTGTGTTGCACGTAACTCAAATAGTTTATGACCTGTAGGCCTGAAAGTTTACAAGAATGTTGGTCAGCATGTGTACTTATGCACCTTGGGGTTTTCTTGTGGATTTATTCAGTATTTGTATTATTTGCTCTTTACTTAATAAAATTTTTTTAGTTTTCCACTTGGGCACATGTAGCCAAAAAAGAAATTTTCACCTAGAGACATAAGATTGCCAAATTGGTAGAGTGAGTGGGGGGGGGGGGGGCACCCGTGTCCTATGGACACATTTCTAGTTTTGGCAGTTATCCATACATAACTGAGTGAATGGGTAACCATTATTTGAAAAATTGTTACTGACAAGAATCTGAGCCGGAGGGGGCATTTGTGTTTAAACAAACACATTCTTGCTTTTTCTGTTACTGGCTATAACTTTGTTATTTATAAATAGATTAACTTGATATTAAGACACAACATTTTTTAGGTAAGGACCTTAATGTAAATCAAACTCAAATTGACCTTGACTTCACTGATTATCTCTTTAATTGGTAATTAATCAATGGATTATTTTCATAATTGGACAAAACAACCTTTTGGACAAGATCTTCAAAAAGGTTGAACTGACCATGACCTTGATCTTTAAATGACCTTGACTATCAAGGTCATACAATTTAATTTTGGTTAAATTGTCATAATTTTGTATGGATTTGATTTATGTTGACAAAACAACACTTGTGACCAAACAGACATTTGGAGTAATTTAATTAAGACCTTGACCTTTAAATGACATTGAATTTTGATTATATTGTATTTTCTTAACTTTGTCATGTATTTATGGAAAGGATTCATACTTGGACAAAGCAACAAGTGTGACTAGACAAACATATAAATATTTTAAAAATAATTTTTTTCTTTTCTTTTTAAAGATTTATTTGTTTGCTTATAGGAAAAGAAAAAATTTGAGTGTTGCTCCTGCTTGCCTTGCGGTGGCTCTTGTTATCTTAACATTAGATTGTCTTTCATTTAAAATGCTGTAATTTGACCTTGACCCCACACTTTACAAGACACGACTGCATTATGGCAAAATTGTTTAGAATCTATAGAACTCTACTTCTATTCCTAGTGTTGTATTTATGCGGTGGCATAGCATTTATTCACAAATCTTGTTTATGTTTTCATATTTCATCATAGAGGTTGAGGTACAACCAGCCCCATCCCTGACATACAGGACTACAGGGGGTGTACTAGATTTCTATGTGTTCACAGGACCAACCCCTGATAATGTGGTGCAACAGTACACAGAACTTATTGGTCGACCCTTTATGCCACCATACTGGGCACTTGGCTTCCATTTGTGCCGCTGGGGCTATAATGGAATTGATGGCATGAAAGCTGTCATCAACAGAATGAGGGATGCTAAAATGCCCTATGTAAGTAATAAAGAGACTTGATTAGATCATGATGATATTAAGATAAAATACACTTTCAAGTGTTGTGTACATTGGAGTAAAGAGTCCTAAGTCTTTTACAACAAAAGTAAAGGCCTTTGTTAACCAGGTTTTCCAAAGGAAAAAACTGGTTATTAGAATGAGGTATGTCGGCGGACAGGTGGGCAGGCGTAAACAATTTCTTCTGTGGGCGGCTCCTCCTACATTTCTCAAACGATTTTGTTCAAACTTTGTTCAAACTTTCACAGAAGCTTTGTCATCAAGTGCCATGATGCATATTGTCAGAGTTTTGTGATTGGATAATTTTTAGCTCACCAAAACCGAAGGTTCAGGGTGAGCTATTAGTATCAAAGGGGGATGCTCCGGCCTCCGTCGTCATGCATCAACAATCGTCTTCTTCTCTGAAACTGCTGAGCAGATCTACTTTAGATTTGGTCTGTAGCATCCTTGTGACAGTCACACTTGAATTTGCTCATGTCATTGTAATTGGCCCCTTTTAGGGGTCAACAGAGCTAAAAATAGATAAACCATTAAACATCTTCTACTACAGAACTAATTGATGGATCATCACCAAATTTTGTCTGAAGCATTCTTGGGTAGTCTTTTATCAAGTTTGCTCATATTAATTTGATTGGCCCCTTTTAGGGGTCTCTAGGGCTAAAAATAGAAATACCTTTAAATGTCTATTTATACAGATCTTATTGATGGATCATCACCAAATTTTGTCTGAAGCATTCTTGGGTAGTCTTTTATCAAGTTTGCTCATATTAATTTGATTGGCCCCTTTTAGGGGTCTCTAGGGCTAAAAATAGAAATACCTTTAAATGTCTTTTTATACAGATCTTATTGATGGATGATCACCAAACTTTGTCTGTAGTATTCTTAGGTAGTCTGTTATCAAGTTTGCTCATTTTAATTTGATTGGCCCCTTTTAGGGGTCTCTAGGGCTAAAAATAAAAAAACCTTTAAACATCTATTTCTACAGCACTAATTGATGGATGATCACCAAACTTTGTCTGTAGCATTCTTGGGTAGACTTTTGTCAAGTTTGCTCATATTAATTTAATTGGCCCCTTTTAGCTAAAGCTAAAAATAGAAATACCTTTAAACGTCTATTTATACAGAACTAATTGATGGATGATCACCAAACTTTGTCTGTAGCATTCTTAGGTACTCTTTTATCAAGTTTGCTCATATAAATTCGATTGACCCCTTTTAGTGGCCAATAGAAAAAGCTTTGAACATCATTTCCTACTGAAATAATTGATAGATGATCACCAAACTGTGTAGCATTCTTAGGTAGTCTTTTATCAAGTTTGCTCATATTAATTTGTTTTTTATTTCCATAAAATGTAGTTAAAAGTCTAATATATCCTTCTAATCACAACTAAATCATTTAACTTTATACAGTTATTAAACAGAAACTATCTAGTTTGTTGCAGGCCTGCCAGCTCATCTGCCTGATTTTGGATCCCCTAGAGTCAAGGTCAAGGTCACTGTTGCTAAAAGTAGAAAAATGTTTCCAGTCAGGTCACTGTTACTTAAAATAGAAAATAGGTTTCAGGTCAATAGCTAGAGTTTCGAATAAGATATTTTTATGAAATTTGATGTAAAGCAAGTTAAAGCAAGACCACACTTGGAATGGCTTTTAGGGTCAAGGTTACTGTTAGTAAAAAAAGAAAATTCATTATTTAAGATTTACATTGCACATAGTTACATTGCTTGTTGCTTGTATTTGTATAAATTTGAACTACAACATATATATCTACAATGGTGATAATTGAAAACCTGGTTTCGTGGCATTGCCATGATTCTTGTCTTATAATACAATGTGTATTCAGTATGTGATAAAATTTCATTGATATAGAATTTTACATGAAATATCATCTTTATCTGAGCATGCTGCAAAGAACATATACCGTTAGCTTCTATTCTTATTTCAAATACTTAAGTTGAATTAGAAATTATGATGACATAATTGCAGGATTTGTAGCAGTTTGTGTGTATAAATCTGTTGCTCTATGTAAAATTTACAGTTTACTCAATTTTCAATTACTGAGTATTCACTGCAATATACTGTACCCTGGATATTGCTCGATATTTTGAGGAATTTCGCGACTTTGAACGGGGAACAAATGTTAGTTAAGCGTCGATATTTAGTCATTTTGGATGGGTTTGATATAAATTTTATAGACCGACAAATACTTCAATAATTTCTCTAGTCACTGAAAACCCATAGATGTTTAGAAATTGCTTTGAAATGTAATTAGGAGATTAAATTTGTCTCTTTGCTCACGTTATAAATGAGCTCGGGTCATTCAAATTGGATGTTTTTGTGTATATACTTCCTTGAAAGAAAAACTTGAATCGAATGAAATGTGATAGCGATGATAATGCTGTAAATGTTCAATCAACAATAGAATCTTAGATGACAGTGCATTTTGAGAATAAATACTCATGTCAGTGTACCGAGTATTGCTTTGGAGTTGCTCGTTGGTGTCACGAGTATTGCTTTTTAGTGGAATGAGTATTGGTTATTAATGTCCAGTAAATGCGAGGAGTAATCACAGAGTATTAATACCACATTCAATCTTAAATATTTCTTATTGTGTATTATATACTTATTACAATTTATATGCAGAGGTTTGAGATACTTTACTGGAAACATTTGCGAATAATCCATAGGCAGTGAAATTTTCATTCCTGCTCATGAAAATACTCAGTCGAAAAAAATCAGCAATTTTCTGTGTTTCCATGTTCTCGTTGCCATCGAAGACTCAACCATTCAGAATTAATTAATAATCCATTATTGCATATCTTACTATAAATAGTACCAAAATTGCATTGAAAGTTGTCAATATTAGCCGGTATTTTAAAAACGATATTACATTAGACGATATTACACTAGTGGAATAACACTTTGACGTCACATCATTTGCGCTATAAACATAGCGTTAAAGCGTGGTAATGTTAGCGTTACACTATAGGCGTGTCAAAGAAAAATGATTCTTACTAACAGTTTACCATTCTTATTTTATATATGTGATAAAGAGAATATTATATTCGTGTAGATTCAATACTAAATTTATTGAACTCGTTGAATAAAACAATATTATGCACGCCAGAGGCTCGCATAAAATAAATAATAAAATAATAAAAATAAAATAATAAAATATGATTTTATTCTACTTGTTCAATAAATTTAGTATTAAACCTACACTCATTCAATATCCTCTATATGATACAGGGCAGCAAATGCAATGAAAAGATTATGATACAAGGCAAGTGTTGGATGACATTGGCGTTCGAAAGTGTGCTGATATCTTTCTTAAGGCACATTTTCTATGTAAAAAACTTTAATTAATGTCATCAAAATATTATATTTTTTCTTTTTAGATGATCACAGTACTGTTTCTTGAGGCATGTATTTAAAGATTTTGATCGTCAATGTTGTTAGTTCTACCCTTCTCCCGACAAAGTTCAGGCGTTATCTGAGCATACACTTTAATGCCATCCTCATTATATAACACGCTTAAACTTTATTTCGTTCATAATGTGATTTTCAATCAAATAGGGGATTAAATCTCTGTATTTGTCCATAGAAAAGAACAGTTATATCACTAAAACTGCATTGTTGAATCCGAAATTTTTGAATAAATATCATAAACAGTACATTATCAGCAAAAATAAAATGGCATAATCGATAAACAGACATAATTTAGACAAAAATATTAATTTTCCATTCTAATTTGCTCATTTTGTTTTTATTTGCAATACTCTGTACACTAAAGTTGAGCTAATGTGCAATAAATAATAATGTACACTAAAAATTAATACTCTGTACACTTTCTTGTATTTTTTTAGGCCAGTATCTTTTTAGGCCACCGCAGCATCTTGAATGCGGTGGCATATAGCGATTCACCTGTGTGTGTGTTTGTGTGTCTGTATGTATGTCTGTCTGTGTGTGTGTGTGCGCGCGTGCGTGCGTGTGTTGTGTGTGTGTGCATGCGTGTGTGTTATATAGATTATATAGTGAACTTAAAAAATCTTCTTGTGAAAAACAACTAGTTCAATTTCAACCAAACTTTGCAGGATTGATCCTTGAGTGAAGGGCTTCAAATGGTGTTCAAAGAAATTCATTCCATGCAGAAATCTGGTAGCCATGGCAACCAAAAGGAATTATAAGAATAAATTTAAAATATCTTCTAGTAAAGACCCACAAGTCCTAGAGCATAGATATTTTACATAAGGCATTGTATGGTAGATCTTTACCAAGATTGTTCAAATTATAGCTCTTGGGTCGAAATTGACCCCTCCCCCGGGGTCATTGATTTTCACAATGTACATATAGAAAAAAACTTAAAAATTCTCTTGTCTGAAGGTACAAGACTTAGAGCTTTGATATTTGGTATATGATATCATCCAGAGGTACTCTACCAATCTTGTTCAAATTTTGCCACAAGTGTCAAAATAAGCCCCGCCCCGGGGGGTCATAGGTTTTCTTTATATGTATACAGTAAAAACATAAAAAATCATCTTCTCTAAATTGACAAAGGCTAAAGGTTAGATTTCCTGCATGAAACATTGTGTTGTTAACCTCTAACAAGATTGTTCAAATTATTGCCCATGGGTCAAAATTTGCCCCGTCCCAGGATTCATTGATTTTCACTATGTACATAGAGTCAAAAATTTAAAGATCTTCTTGTCTGAAGGTACAAGGCTTAGAGCTTTGATATTTGTCATATAATATCATATATAGGTCAAAGTTGTTCAAATTTTGCCCCTGTTGTCAAAATTGGCCCTGCCCTGGGGGCATTGATTATCATTATGTACACATAGTAACAACAGAAACTAAAACAAATGTTTTCTGAATAGGAGAAAACTACAGCTTAGGTATTTGAAATGTTGTTTGGTGGACCTGTATCAAGATTGTTTGAATTAAACCCTTGGGTCAAAATTTTGCCCTGCCCAAGGGGACACTG